CAAGTGTTATTGCTATATTGAACGTGCTATATGGAATGAATTATAGATGAGTTAGGTAGAAAAGAAAATGGTACTCACAATAAAGTGGATGCAGCCTAATGCACAGTACATGTGAGTAACGTTTGTTCATAATTCAGAAACAATCAACGCAAAAAATCAAAAACTTAAAATTCATAAGGCCACATTTTTTGGTTCATACGAATACTACACATGCAATATGTTACAATATAAGGTACATTACAATGTACATAGAATCTACTTGTAATGCATAGTGTACAAATGCCATATGGTATTCAGAAAAAATTTCTTTGGAAGCAAAAAAATCAAACAAAGACAAAACAGTGTTAGACTGGACACTAAATATGTACTCAATAACATGAAAAGTGTATTAAAAACATTAATCAATCACTGGTTCTTATTATATGCCTCTATGCAGTGGTAGGTCTATACTATTATAGTTGGAATACTAAGAACCTGATCCATCATCTCCTCCATTGGCAGCATCATCAACATCACTAAGCTGTTTCTTCATGTCAAACTCTTCATTAGTAGCACCGGGTGATGTAGAATTACGAGATCTACATGTACAAGAATGAGAAAGGAACAAGATTTAGATACAAATGACAATAAATGGACACACACACATCCTTTTGTCTCTCAATGTCAATAATAAGCTCATTTCTCCCATTTATTCTACCTTTCTCTCTCCAACCCTTATTCCTTACTTTTTTTTACTTATTTTGTGTGCTATTGCAAGCAATACAATACATACTGCAACAATAAACGCTCCAACTATTGGAACAACAATCACAACTGTCATGTCATTATCATCATCAATTGGTATTATTGCTACAAGAAAAGGAATGGAGAAAGAAAAAGAGCAAAAGTATAGAGAGAGAGAGAAGGAGACATCAATCATAAAATAAGTTTTTAAAGTGCATTGATCTTACTTGGTGCTGTTCCAAAGAATAAGGAAGGTAGTTAAGGGACACCATGAAAATAAAAGAAGAAAAAGAAAGACAAGATAAAACAGGTTATTATTAGTGTTGTTTTAGTTAACTATATCTAAAACTAAAACCACTTTTAGTTTTAGTTTTTTTTCAACTAAAACATACGCAAGTGCTTGTTTATCACAGCCACCATCAGTAATTGTACAAACAATACATGCTGAATACATACAAGTGATCACATGGTTTACATATGGTTTATTGTATTAGCCTTACAGTTGAGAAGGACCAAAAAGATGATTACTGGAAGGCCAAAAGCAAGCCTTGTTTGAGAGCTGTTCCCCTAGACCTTTTAAATTTTTTGACTCAAAATGAACACTTAATCCCAATACTAGCACCATTTGCTCAAGACATTCTTTTAGCTCCAGCATCCTCAACCCCAGTTGAAATGATTTTTTTCCAAAGCTGGTTACTCATCAAGTGGACGAAAAAATCGATTGGCTGGAAGTAATTTAGAACAAGAAGTTTTTAGAAGTAAAACAAATAAGCAATGCACATAAACATGCACTCACATTAACTTGGCATTGATTGATTATAGTACACATAAAGACATTTTCATAACTAATCGCTACAATTTCAATGTATTGACGTTAATAACTAACTAAAGTATTACTAACTATAACTAATA